TGGCCCAGGCTGCCCAGAGAGGGTGTGGAGTCTCCTGCTCTGGAGACTTTCCAACCCGCCTGGACACGTTCCTGTGGGGCTGCCCTGGGTGACCCTGCTCTGCCAGGGGGTGGCACTGGGTGAGCTCTAGAGGTCCATTCCAACCCCTGACATTGTGTGATTCTGTGATTCTATATTGTCTACATTTTGTGTAGATTTACACAAAATTCCAGGAGCAAAGGCTTGCGCTTTGTGGATCAGAGGTTTCCTCTTGAAAGCAAGTCTTCATCCTGTCTCCAGGACGGTGGCATTTGCATCATCACGACAAACCAGCTCTCCAGCTGCTGCAGTTCGAGGCTGCCTTAACTTCAGATCTCACTGCCTCTGAGCTTCAGATGGGAGTTTCAGGAAAGCAAAGCTTTCCGATCCCACTGGCAGCAGGACAGCGCGAGGGATAACTAGTGAGTTCCCTGGGGCGAGGGCCCTGAGGTTCCTGTTCAGGCTGACCATCGGCTGGATGTGAATCGAACTGCTGCCGAGAGGGAGATGCAAAGGGCTCCTTCTGCTCGCCGGAGACACTTCTCAGCACGGCTGAGGCCTGGAGAGCACGCTGGGGTGGGCAGAGCTGGCACCTGAGCGCTGAAAGAGAAACGGAGAGAGTCAGGGGTCTCCTCCCAACAAAAAGAAACACAGAAAGTTATGGTGAAGAAGAGCGTTGTGGGAAACACAGCTGGAAAGAACAGAAATTGGTAGAGAGAGTCTTTTTGTAACACTTCCGTGAAGCTTTTGTGAGGAAAAGAACTGCACAGAGGGCACGTGTCGCAAACGGAGAGGAGCTTCCCGGTCTCGGGCACGCAAACAGACGCTGGCTCCCCTGCAGAGTGCCCTCTTCTCCTTCTCAGTCCCCGGTGGAGGAGAGGAGGTAGAAGGCAACACGGAGGCCCGAGCTCAGGGCACGAGCCAAGCAACGCTCCGGAGAAGGAGCGGTCCTCACGGATACAACGGCAACACAGCCGTCCTGGTTTGAGCCAAACAGAACCAGTCCTGGTTGTGATATTTGCCTTTCAGACATGGCTACCCTGTCAGAAATTTTAAAAACTCCACTGAGGTTTGCATTGTTTTTTCCTGAGTAAGCTTGGGTTGCACAGCCCCTACTTTAACAAAATCACCAACCAGCACCCCCCA